GGGCAGAGCAGTAGGCTGAGGCCCAGAGCCACTGGAAGAGTGACTGCAAATCTTTCTCTAGAAGCTGTCCCAGTCCTGAGAAATGTCTGCGAGCTGCTCTCTCAGGTCTTTGTGCCCCTTTCGCCAAATTGACATGGCGGCTTTTACTGGTAGAGCGCACTTCTGAGCTTTGACGTGATGTTGACTTTTCTAGTTAGATACCTTATCTCCCCATGACCCTTTGAGCCATAACGTGCAGACCGAGGCTGTTTTTCTGATGAAGGGAGAGGCCAGCCAGCATGGTTCTCTTCTGTAGCAGTGTTGCCCTTGCACTTCATATGCAGCAAGGCAGACCAGATGTTTTCATCTAGAACAGTGATGGTGAACTTTTCAGAGCTTTTAATAACAGCCCACCATGGCACGTGTGCCACAGGTTCCCCACCACTGACCTAGAGATTCTCTGGGTTCGTCGCCCAGCAGCGTCTTCGTGCTGTGAAGCTCGTCTGCCCTCAGCACTCACTGTTCTCCATAGATGGGGATCAGGAACAGCTGAGAATGATGCCACATCACCCCCAAAGAAGCATTTCTGGTAACAAACTAGTACCAAGTATACGCCAGATGTGGTGGCGCACGCCTGTAGTCCCAGCACTCAGGAGGCTGAGGCAGGAGGATCGTTGCAAGTTCAAGACCAGCCTGGGCTACAGTGAGCTCAAGGCCAGCCTGAACTGCATAGCAAGACCTTGTCTCAAAAGGACAAAAAATCTAGAGCCAAGTACACACCTTTGACCACAGCCAGTGTGTCCCTTTTGTTGTTGTGTCCACTGACTGCCCCTGTACCGCCTCATGTAGCTTTGTACTGTCCAGTGTCCCCCTCAGGGAGGCGAGACTGTTTCAGAGTGGCCTTATTTTTCTAGCAACTTGTAGAATGACAAAATGTCATATAGAATATGGCCTGGTTTCTAAGTTGTCGTCTTACGGAAATAGGATCTTTCAATCATACATGGCACAAGGGCCAATTCAGCTGCTGCTATTCGGAGTCAGGAAGGCCGGAGATCACTAGTTTCCCTTCCCAGGGACAGAGCCTGCAGTGTTGAACTCTGTACCACCCCCCAGGGGTGTCTGAATGTTGGTGACCATACACAGAGTGATGTCACGTTTGATTTTTTGCATACAGTTCCTGATGGTCATAGTGTCTATTCAGATATGTTTATACAGTTATTTATTGAAGTGGCAAATTCAGAGTCACTTTCTGAAAGGTTAAGAAAAATAAGAGGTGTGAAACAGCTCCAAATTACAGTTACTCAGACCTGGATTTGAAGGAGTTCTCACAGTAGATGCTGCCGTGGGGCATTTCCTAAACCTGAGCTCTTCTGTTGGGTTGGTCTGTGAGCACAGCAGGGAGGCCAACAGGAGTGCGCGCTTTGTCCTTTAGTGAGAATTTGCACTTTAGCTGTACATGAAGGGTATTATTTTAACAAATTACTGATTCTAATAAAGTATTTTATTACACAAATGTTTGAGATTTTGCGCTCTTTTTCAAGAGGTGTTTCCATTTGTCCTAAGAGTTACAGGGGAATTCTAAACTGTCGCCCTACTACATACAGTCCAGGGAAACAACAGATCCAAGATGGTCCCATCAGTAGACAAGCAAGATCTAGCTGCCTAAACTGCTTCCCGAAGTTAATGGGGATGAATGTATACTAATTTTTTTTACTAAGATTCAAAGAAAATTTTTGCATGTCTCTGCTGACCATCAGTTCTTGATTTTCTGGGGCGGGGCGGGAGAGGACACCTAAACCCACGTGTATGTTCCTGGAAGCTCATTTCTAGAAGCAGAACCCTACACCTACACTTAGGGTCCTGATCAAGTCTGAAAAGGCTCAACCCTGTCATATTGAGGGCATAAAGTCATTGGCCAAAAAATCAGCCAACAAAACAGTTCCCGGGGCATACTAAAAGGAAAACCACATGAACCTGCACTGGGAGGAAACACAGCTCTTCAGGGAGCAGGCCATAGGCCACAGACTCCCTCTGAGCTACCCAATCACCAGCCAACAGAACAGGCTTCGGAATGGTGGCCACAGAGACCCATCCAGAAGCAACCAGTGCCTCGGGGATCCTGCCAACAGCCACTGCCACAGCATAACCCAACAGTAAGGCCTAGAAAAAGTGTTTTATGATAAAAAGACGGAGGGAGAGGGACCTACATTTTAAAAAGATTTTAAGAGGCTTATCAAACTGGGAATGGTGGCACACATGCCTGTAATCCCAAGCACTCGCCTGTAACCTCAGCACTCGGGAGGCTGAGACAGGAGTATCACTGCAAGTTTGAGACCAGCCTGGGCTACAAAGTGAGCTCAAGGCCAGCCTGAACTGCATAGCAAGATCCTGTCTCAAAAAAAACACAAATAAATTTGCTTGGCATTTACCACTAATGGTTCTACCACTAATGGTTCTATAAAACCACAGCTTCTGAGTCCTTGCTCCGAGGGACACATGCTCCGTCCGACACATGCTCTGTCCCTATCCCTGGCTGGGTGTGCCTGGTGCTAATGTCCCTAACACAGAGGAAGGAGGTGGGCGGGCAGAACAGTGAGATGGGCTGGGAGTGAGGATTGCCAAGTCGCAATGACAGGCATGTAGGAGTTTATCTCATGGTTGTGTCTGCTTTTTTATGTATTCAAATGTTTCCATTAGAAACGGTTGCATTAAAAAAAAAATTTAGAAAGCTGATTGATGCACACGAAACTAAAACTTACAACAGACAAATGAGATAATTTCCATGACACATAGAAGGATTCCCTGACGTTTTTCTCTGAAGTGCCTTTATAGTTTCCCTACCGACCTGGCAATGCTGCTTTCACAGCAACAAGTATTTGATCAAAGAGGTAAAAAAGCTAGTGGCAACTGCTGTAAATTCAAGTTTAAAACTGAAGACACCACGGATGAAATAATTTAAACCAAACTGCAACAGATTTGACTTACAAAACTTCTATTTACACAACTATCAGGTAAAGCAAGGTACACCCATTTCAAAATACACCCACCTGTGAGTGCCTGAGTACCACAGGGCAAGACATTTTTAAGAGAGTTTCGGTTTAATAAACAAAGCTAAATATTTTGAGAATTGAAGTTTGCAGTTGACATGGCATTTAAACAGAACCAAAGGGCAGAAACTCAACGTTTAGACAACACAGATCACTAATCACTAGGAAAGAAAACGGCGCACAGCCGGGGGCACTCAGAATTCCTATATTAAACAAGAGTTGTCAAACGTTCTGCTTGTAGGAAACATAAAACAACTGCAGATGTGTCCTTTACAAATACATAATAGAAAAAACGCACAACCTGCTTGGACAAAAATCCACTGACGTTTTTATGTGACCCCCCCCCAACTAAAGTAGGCCATTCTGGTGAGTCACTCGTATCTGCCATCTCATCTTTTGTCTTTTAAAAATTCAGAGTGACGGGCACAGGTTCTGTGCAGGGCGTGAAAGAAGTATCTTATAAAAAGGGCCAGAAGCATCGGAACGAGTGCATCTCAGAAGCCGTGTTCCAGGGTCACTTCCGCTCCTCACTCTTCAAGACGCAACAGCGTGCTGGGACGGCCGCCCTCGGCCAGCCTGTGGGGCGAGCACCCTCTCCACCTGCCCTCAATGTGAGGGAGCACTCAACGTCTCTGTCCTGGGAACAAGCTTTCTCGCTCTGTCCCCTTCTGTCCTAGCCATGGGGAGAGTCCCCAGAAGCCCGCAGATGCTGCACCAGCCTTCCGTCCCCAGAGTGCCGCTGGGTAGTGGGTGGTCTGCCTGGCCAGTGTGAAGTAAGGCATTTCTTGTCTCAGAGTGCCGTTCACTTTCTCAGAAGCAACTTGGCAAAGTCAGCATTCGACATCTTGGGCGCCTCGCTGGCTGCGGAGGTGGCGACTGCTGGGCACGGGGCAGGGCCGTTCTCCGCCTGCGCAGGGCCAGCGGCAGGGCGCTGAAGAGCACGAGGCAGCAGAGAGAGCTGGGTCCTCCCCTTCCCGCGCCTGGAAGAGAGAAGACAGTGAAAGTACCTTCCCCAGCCAGCACTCGTGGCCCCGGCTTCGCTGTGAAAATAGCCAGGTCAGTTTCAAATTATCCAGAGTTGAGAGACAAAAAGTGAAAAACACGAGCAATGAGACAGCCCTCTGTCCTGGGCCCTGGCTAGTAAGTGAAAACAACTTAACAAACTGCCCAGTTCACAGTCTGGCAGGGACCAACCCGGTGACACAATCTCACACACACAACAGACGCTGGCACCCTTCAGCCCCACCGAGCGAGCGTGCCGCGTGGCTGCCTCACCCCTCTCAAGCGACAAGCAAAGGCTTTACGGGGATTACAGCTCCACCGACAGAATGGCAAGCATGCCGTTGTCAGGTTTTGTATTGGACACACGGATTAATCAGCAAAGGGGAATTTAAAATAATTACTCCTTTAAAAAAATTCCCAACTGGAATTTTCCTTGGAATGAGATTATAGATCAGTTTTTAGAAAGTTGTTATCTTCAAGTGTTTCACCTTAAAATGTTTCTTGAAATCCTCAATTGCTCTGTAATGTCTTCTAGTTTTCTGTATATAGGTCTTATAAACTTTGTGGTGACATTCATCACGATTTCCTATTTTAATACTCTTGTAAACGATGTTTTGTTTTTGTCACCAGGAAGTGGAAGTACAGTTGCTTTTCAATGAACTTTATTTAAAAAAAAAAAAATTCCCTCACGTAAACAGCAAGTGCAAACTGGCTTACGCCCTCCTAGGACTTGCTCTGGGCCCCTGGATCCAGCAGAACCACAGGGGTCACACAAGGAGCAGCTTTCTTGTCCTCACCCACGGCACCACTGGGAAACTACTCTCCCCGGGGCCATCCATCCGGGGCCATCCATCCGCAGCCAGAGCCGGCCCAAGACTAGCCCGCAAATACTTACGCTCCGTACATCTGCCGCGGCACCATGGGGCCGCCCAGTGCTTTCCTGGCCTCCGGCTTCTCTGGCACTTTCCTCTGAGGGGGATTGCTGATTGCCACTTTGATGACGTTCTCTTTAATGGTCATGCCGTCCATCTTCATCACAGCCTGCGATGCCTGGGATTCGTTTTCGTACTCCACATAGGCCAGGCCCTGAAAGCAGAGACCCAGAGCCACTCTGATGCTGCGGACCCACCCACAGGGCCACCTCGCCCGGGGCAAGAGGCCGGGCTTCCTTGGGAAAGCAGCTGACCAGGCACCGCTCGCCCAGTCCCCTCCCCCCACTGCCATGCTCTGCTGACAGGTTTATTCCCTGCTTCCCTGTGACTGTCCCTAGCATCCCCAAACCCTTCTGGGTCACGTCCTGTGTCTGCTCCAGAAGAAAGAGCGAGACGGATGATCAGTCTGAGTGCGGCAGACACCAGAGGCGGTGGCCTGCAAAGAGGGCAAGTGGCCAGAGGGGCGCCAGTGTCTCCTGTCCCCTTGGCCTCTCCTTTACACTCTTCAATTCTCCATCAGCCTATACGGAGAACAGGTGAAGGGAATCCAAAATCATGCTTAAAACAACACTATGCAAAACGTGGTACAACACAGCCAGGCACAGTGGCACATAACTACAGTCCCAGCTACTCAGAGGCAAAGGCAGGAGAACAGTGTGAGGCCAGCCTAGGCAAGAGTGAGCCCCGCCTCAAAACATAAAACAATGTAGGACAAAAGGATTTAACCGGACATCAGGGCAGGCAGGGGTAAGGAGGGGTCAGGCAGAGGGATCTGAGGAAACTGGCTAAAACCCAGCAAGGAGGAGCCTGGGGACAGTAGAAATGACCGTCGTCACCCCAAGTGCCCCCACCTCTGGCCACAGTGCTGACCTCAGCCCCAAGGGGCCACAATGGAGCCCCTGTAAATTCTCACAATTTTCCAAACACCTTACTCTTTGTTAGTATAATTAGCTACAAAGGTTAACCTGATTCAAAATGCAAGTGGAGCAATGTGCTTGTTTTTCCATTAACTGTCATTTGTTTCTTAGACAAACTAGGAACCCACCCTAGCACTAAATAATCCCTGAACAGTAGTATAGAAAGGACTCCTCCGCCTGAGTCTCAGGAGACCAGGCAACGTCTGCACGGTACTGACCTTTGGTTTGCCAGCCCGGTTGGTGACCAGTCTGAGGTCTTTCACAGTGCCATGCGCCTTACAGATGTCTTCCAGCTCCTCCTTTGTGCAGGAGAAGGGCAAGCCCGAGATGAACAGCTTGTGCTTCTCCAGGGCGGTGCTGTACCGGAACACCTGCAGGACAGGCAGGGGACCTGCAATGTGCACACACCCAGCAAGGCGGCCATGGCCAAGCCTGGGCCCCGACATCTGTTAACCTGTCACCTGGGCAAATCACTTAGCCTGTCCAGGCCTTCAAAATGGCAAAGATAGGGGCTAGGGATTTAGCTCAGCGGCACAGCACCTGCCTGGCAAGCGCAACATCGTGAGTTTGATTCCCGGTATCGGAAAAAAAACAAAAATAAATAAGTAAGTACAATGACAAAGAAAAAAGCAGACATCTGAAGCCAGATGTGGTGGCACTTTCCTGTAATTCCAAGACCCTGGGAGGCTGAGGCCAGTTTGAGCCCAGCCTGGACAATTTAGTGACAACCTGCCTTAAAATGTAAAATCCTGGGGAAGCAGCTCAGTGCAAAGGCCCTGGGTTCAATCTCCAGTACCAGGGGATGAAAAAGCAGCCCATTCATAGAGTTCTGGTGAGGAGTTACGGAGACCAAATATAACACATTTAGCATGACTGTGTCTTTCACTATTGCGTATTCCACAGAAAGTAGCCAGCATTACAGTTCCCAGCTTTATCATGAACACTAAGTCAGGAAGTGCAGCCTCGAGGGGCTGAGTCATGGGTCAGACCTGGGCTCAGGCGCAAGCGCAGCTCTTAGGGAGCAGAGCTGTCTGCACCTAGTGTGAATCCGAGCGCTGCAGGGGAAGCGCTGTGAAAAGCTGCTTCTCCCAGCCCCACAAAAGGCATTCCTTGCTGTGACATACCTTAAAGTCAGGGTTTTTGCTCTTATCCACACAAGGGGAGACAAACATCGGCCTCCCTTCCACGTTCTTCCGATCCAACTCCAGGGCCTGAAGGGCCGACTTCTCATCCTTAAACTCCACGTAGCAGTAGCCCCGGAAGTCACCACGGTTGTTGAAGATGGGGCGGATTTCCGCTACCTCCCCACAGGCCTCAAAGAGTGGCCGGAGCTTCACCTCCGGCTCCCCCATGCTGTAGGGCAGGTTGCTCACAAAGACAGTAATGCTGTCCTTACTGCTGTCGTGGGGCACCTTGGGCATGTCCCGCTTCAGGGCAGCCGCCTTCTCCTTCTGCTTTGAAGGAGTCTCAACGTCCACAGCTGTGTGTTTCCCCGACAGCCCTGTTTCCTCTTCTGTGACTGGAGCCTCTCCTGCCGGGCCCACGCTGTTCTCCACCCTTCTGCGCTTGGCAGGCTGCTCTGTGGGTTTCAAAAGAGAAGCAGCAGCAACGGTCAGCCACTCCATCTTCACGCATGCGTAGGGGCACGGTGAACACGCCTCCCACCGCTGGTGTGCAGGAGTCAGACGGACAGACACACCGGGCGGGCACCATTCCCCAGGGAGGTCTCTCACGACTCTCCCAAGCTGCACACCACTTTCTGGGCCCCAGCTATACTCCAGTAAGCGGGCCACATGCAGGGGAAGCAATAGCATAACCCCCTCGTCCACTCTCCACTATGCAGGTCAGAGGTCTCAGACCCAGGCTCCGCTCCTGCAAAGGCCAGGTCAGCACAGGGGGCAGGGCCTGCATGGAAACCAGCCCCCAGGCGACAGCCATCTGTGCTCCACAGACCATGTTCCCAAGGGTCTGTTTCCTTTCAATATTGTCGTGTCCTTCAACAGAACCCAACCACACTCTACTCCAACCCATGCTTACCTGTGCCACCGGAGGGCAGTGTCAAAGCGCAGCAGGCGCCCATCCTGTGCCCAGACTTCCCGGTCCACCCACCCGCCCGCTGCTTCCCAGTGGAGCCTGCACCCTCACACTGCACCACAGAGCATCCTCGGCTGCTCACTGGGCTGGACCCAGCTCCAGCTGCCTCCACTACTGCCAGGTATCTGAGCACAAACCCAACTCTGTAGCACACAGAGAACGCCAGGCCATCTTGTGCCTCCATGCCTCGCTAGCCTCACTATCGTGACCGTGAGGAGCACCTCTCCTTCCCCTCTCTCCCCTTCTTTTCCACTGGATGACCCTCACCGCCCCGCAACGCCACATGCTGCTCCTCCTGTGGCAGGGAATCGACCTGTGCCTTCTCTGCCCCACCACACCCACATCGTCTCCCACGGTCCTGACTGCACACCACTGCTGCCCCGGGTCCCGCCGCTTCACCATGCTGACGTGGGGCTCTGAGGGGGAATGAGCCACCAGGTCCGTTTGCGAAGCCCCAGGAACGGCACACAAGGGTGGGCAATTAAATGACTTCACTGCCGCTCCCTCCGCTGACACAGCAGACTGGGAAAATATTCCGAGTCCTTTAATGTGTTGAGACAATTCTTTATCCTGACTAACTTTACTGAAGTAAAGCTGACCCAGAGCTGCCCATCCCTGAAATTAAGTAGATGACAGAAACACACCTTGGAAAATTCAATCAATGGGCCAAGAGAGGAGGGCGCCCCTGCAGGGTGGGCTGGGCAGGAGTACCGTGAGTGGAGGCCAGCCCGGGAGAGGTGCACATGCGAAGTGGAGAAAGGAACCCACCAGGGGGTACGGGAGCCCACGTGAGTGGAGAGGCACCAGGCAGGACAGCCATGGTGTGAAGGCCTGGTGGAGGGGCAAAGGTGACCGTGCAGCACAGCGGCCAGTGCCAGACCCCGAGACCCCTAAGGTGAGGAGGGCGCCTACTCAGTGGAGAGGCAGGGACAGGCTGGTTACGTCCACAGGAGAGGGGCAGAATGACTGCGCAAGACAACAGGGCCAGGCTCCTCAAGCTCAGAGAAGGGCCCTGGAAATACGAAAAGGGGAAGCCCAGGGCTGGGGATATAGCTAAGCGGCATAATCGCTTGCCTGGCAAGCGCAAGGTTGTGAGTTCGATCCCTGGTACCAAACAAAAAAAAAAAAAAAAAAAAAAGAAAAGGGGAAGCCCAGCCCCAACCCCTGGGGTAGCTGGCATGCAGGTCCCAGCAAAGCCTTACGGTTTCAAACACATCCGAGCACGGAAGTAAATGAAGGTGTGAACACAATCCCTAGCTCCACAGTCAGAGGGCCTGGAGCAGAATATCCCGCCATGGCAAGCATGCCCAGAACACTCTAAGGACCACTCAATAATCCAGGAGCCCTGGAGAGAACAGCAGACGACAGGGCGGAGTCACAGAACGTGCAAGACAAGCCTGGGGTACCGCACGTCTGAGTCCAAGGAAGCAACCAATCATCAGTCCGCAGCTCAGAGCACACAGAGGCCTGTGGGAGGGGCTCTGCCAGCCAAACTGGAGAAAGTAAAGCACCAACCTGTACACCTGTACTGACAGATTACAGAGGTGAATCAGGTGGGAATCCACAATCCATGACACAGAAAAACATGAATAACTTAGAAGCTTGATGAGAAATAAATACTTTGGTTAAATACTTAAGCAGAAATAAAAAAGTAACTTTGCAATGGAGGAAGATGGCAGCCACCACTTAGCCATGACCAAACTAACCCTCACCAGTAAAGGGACACACTGACACGTATGTCACCCAACGAAACGCAACAAGAACACAGCGTGACTCACACTGTTCCTACCAAAGCAGCACGACCAAAATCTAACCACCAGGGACACCAGCCAGATCCACTCTGTGGGACAGAAGTAACTGGCCTGTCCCCTTCAAAAGTGTCCAGGTCTGAGAGCTGAAGGGCACTCCAGACTGAAAGAGGATCAAGGCACAACGGCTAAACACAACCTGGTCCTGAACTGAACCCTTCAACCACCAAGGATGCCATACTGGGAAAAACGGCAGGCAGTGGGTGGGACCTGAGGATCCGGCGGTGGGAATAGAGCGGTGCTAACCCGACTGAGGAGGAAGGACACCACAAGCACACGCTCTGTAGTACGGCAACGGCGAGAGGTGTCAGGTGGGCAGATTATTCTCCAACGGGTCAGGAACATGAAGTGCTCTGGGCCCGGTGTGCAACCTCTAAGTCTGAGACGTTTCTACAAAGCCTCCTACCTCCATCACCATCGCCCCACTCTTTCTCATTCTCCTCCTCTCTGGGCCTGTCTGCACCTCTGGGCTTTTTCTTCTTTTTCAGGGCCTTCTTCTCAGCTCGCACCCTCTTCCGCTGTTCCGCCTTCTCCTCTTCCTGCTGCGCCAGGGCTGCTTCCTTCTCAGCAGCCTAGAAAAGTGGGAACAGGAGGGTCGCTGGGCATGGTGATGTTTACAATGCCTGTCCGGCTTGTGAGGGAATGAGAAATGGGGGGGGAGTGGTAATGATTCACCACCGCTGAGAAGCCCATGGAAAGGGCATGGAGGGTGCTCACAACCGCCCCACCACTGAGCTCCTTGGGCCTCTCAGGCTTCTGACCGCCAGCACGCAGCAGGTTCACAATGCTGTTCGTCATGATCCACCAAGGGAAAGAAAACCCAGTCTAGAAAGCTGGGGCCCTAGGTAAGCTGGGGGCTCATGTTCCACTCACAGGTCAAGTAAGGCTCCACTTTACTCTTTCTGATCAGTCCCAGTAAATTGGAGGCCCCAAATTCCTACTATGTGAAAAAGTACTTATTGTCAGAGCCAGTTTTAAACTAATTGAAAAGGGGCTGGGGATATAGTCCAGTGACACAGCACCTGCCTGGGAAGCATAAGGTCCTCAGTCCAATTCCCAGTACCAAAAAATACATACATTCATACATAAACAAATTGAAAAAGATGGCTGTGCATGGTGGTTGCATGCCTGTAATCCAGCACTTGGGAGGCTGAGGTAGGAGGATCATTGTCAGCTCGAGACCAGCCTGGGCTATAAAGTGAGCTCAAGGCCAGCCTGAACTGCATAGAGAGACCCTGTTTCAAAAAGACCAAAAAAAAAGACAATAACAAAAAGATGATAGAGCCAGCACATGCCTGTAATCCCAGCACTTGGGAGGCTGAGGCAGGAGGACTGTTGTGAGTTCGAGGCCAGCCTGGGCTACAAAGTGAGTTCAAGGCCAGCCTGGGCTACAAAGTGAGTTCAAAGCCAGCCTGAACTACATAGCGAGACCCTGTCTCAAAAAGACCGGAGGGAAAAAAAAAAAAATGATAGAAATTCAAATGCTGATTCAATCTTTTTTTTTTTTTTTTTTTAATCTTTTTGTTTTTTTTGAGATTCAGTTTCGCTATACAGTTCAGGCTGGCTTTGAACTCACTTTGTAGCCCAGCCTGGCCCTGAACTCACAATAATTCTCCCATTGCAGCCTGTCGAGTACAAGGGCTGGGATTACAGGCAGCCACCACCATGCCCAGCCACTGACTGAACTATTTTATAGTACCCTACGAGTAAAACAGATTTCTTATGAAGACCTACAATGTTTTGACAAAACACTGTATCAAACAGCCACAAGAGCTAGGAGAAGGTCCCAGCCTCCAGAGGACAATCCTCGTTACCTTCATTCTCTGCTCTTTGACACGTGCCAAGCGGGTTTCAGTTTTCTGAACAGCTACATCCCAGTCTTCTAAAGTACCTGGAGAGAAACAGGAGGGAAACTTTCACTCTTTAGGTTTCTGGCGGGCGTAGGACATGATTTTCTTCATCTCCCACACCTCAGGAGATTTCTCCCTTCCAACAAGAACTGGAGAGTGAGTTCCTCCTTTTAAGAAAATTTATGTAGGCTTGAAGACTGGAATTCAAACAGTCCTTCTAGATGTCTCTGCCCTTTCAGAAGAGACTGGGGTTGGGGCAGGGACAGGAAAAGAGACCTGAAAGCACAATATGACCATAATGTTATGGTTTAGATCTAAAATGCCCCCCCAAAAGTCTCCTGTGTGTGGAAGGTGATTAGACCACTGGGTCACTGCAGCAGACTTGCTGTTAGGATGTAGGGCCTTCCCCTCTCGCCCCATCTCTCCCTGTCTCTCTCTCTCTGTTGTTGAGGTATCTGACCTCCAGGGCTCATACCCCAAATCCAGACCAATGCCCACAGATGAATTCACACTATTTTTCTTTTGTTTCAGGTCTACAACTTCATACTGAAGGCTCCGGCCTCTTCGAGGGATGTGGGCGTGACCATGGAGCACTGGCTCTCCACTGGGGACCTTTCCACCCGGGACATTCATTTGGCCACGTCCACAGACATTTCTGGTGGCCAAGTATGGCTGGATGGGGAGGGCTGCCACTGGCATCTAACAGGCAGAAGCCAGAACTGTGGCTCAATGTCCTGCAACGTACAGGGCAGTCCCTACAACAAAGAATTATGAGAAGCCCCACACTAGGACCACTTGGCAGGGTCCTGGCAGCTAAAGACTCTAAGAACAGCCGCCGGAGGGCCTGGCCCCGTGGTGAGGGCCTCATGACAGTCTAATGCAAGGTGATGGCCAGGACCACAGTGTGTCCTCACAGACTGTGACCAGGCACTCCCACTGGAGACCGAGTGCAGGCAGGTGAGGCTCCAAGCAGAAAGCTGGGGGTGAGGATCTCACCTTCTGTCCTTTCCATGGTGAGCAACACTTCACAGACGTGTTCGGGGTAGTCACTGGTGCACTGGACAGCCCGGTGCAGAGCCTTCCTGCAGTGCTGCGTGTCCCCATGTGCCCTAGGACAGAAAACAAAGAGCTGCCACCATGAAGACACAAAGCGGAAGGCACAGGAAGGGAGGGACTGTTTTCACACAGGTGGACTCTCTCTGACAGTGCTAGACACGGGATCCAGCTTTCAGAACCACCTGTGACATTTTCTCCTTCCTCAGCGAGCTTCCACGGTCACTCTATCAAGCCATTCTCTCCTCCAGTGAGGCAGACAGCCCTGGAAAATCCCCCAGGGTAGTGGCCTACAGCCGGGTTTCCAGCCTTTACAGCACTCACACATGTATAACACATCAGAAGAGGGTGGTCCATCAATTCTGTGTCATTTGATGAAGTCCGTAGGGAGATTTTACACAGTCCTACTAGAGGAGAGAATCAATAATCCAGGCAATGATCAAATTTCATGCCTAGAGTCAACTCTTTTTGTACTGGCATGGAAAGAAATGCTGCTAATCACAAGTTATGAGAGTGCATGCTCACTCTCACTTTTAAGGAGGCATAAACATATGTATTAAGATTAACAATCAGAGTGGTCCTCAAGGGATGATCCACTTGCCGCCCCTGAAACCTCTGGTCTCTCTCTCTCTTGTCTGTGATGGCACCAAAACACTACTGGATTTTTCCACTGTGTTGATACTTACAAGGACGGTATAAAAGCAACAGTGGCCCTCGGCACAAAGTAAGGCACTGCACACCTTGGAAGTACCGTGTGACCCAGTAGGAAGTACAGTGCACAAAGAAAACCTCTGATGCATACTGGATGAAGGACACTGGTTGCTGCTAAGCAAACTGTATGTTACTGTTTGAGCTGAGAATCTTTTTTTCACAGAACACCATTTTGCATTCAGAAAACCACTGAGTGAAAAATTACAGCTCCTCAGATCTACATATTTGGCAGATATTTCTCAGTATTAATAAAGTTAAGTATGCCACTTCAAGGAGAGTCACTAACATTACTCACGGCTAGCGATAAAATCAGTGCTTCCAAGTGAAAATTAGAATTTTGGAACCTTTGCTTCTGCCATTGTGAGCTTCCTACTGAAGACTTTTCTATAAAATCTGTGAGCCTAGGGATACATTTGGGTGTAGATCTGATGCACGGGATAGAACTCAGGACTTTGTGCATGCTAGGCAAGCACTCTGCCACTGAGCTAAAGCCTAGCCACAAACGTAATTTTTTAAACTATAGGATAAAATGTGTCAGCTTTTGAAAAAGCTGTATGACTTGTCAGTCAGGATTTTCCAAATGAACAATGCATGCTGTCACAGGATTATTAGCATCAGGGAAAAAAACGTAAGTGCAAAATGGACAGACAGACAATGTACAGCACAGAAACATCATTAACACGGTTTCAGGTCCTACTTTCTATGTGCCCTTTAAGAAACAATCACTTGTTGAGTTTTGCTGTAGTATAGAAGGAGAATATTCACAATTACTTGAAAGGCTATTAAAATACACCTTTCTTTTCTAACCTCGTATGTATGTGAAGCTAAATTTTGTCAAATGTTTCAACAAAAACAATGTATCACATCAGACTGATCCAGAACAGACATGAGAATTCAGTTGTCTTTTAAACTTAGCCAGACCAAAGATATTTGCAAAAACTATGCTATTTTAAAAAATAAAAAACTAAGTTATTTTAGGGTTTGGAAAATATAGCTCTATGCCAGGCATGGTGGCACACGGCTGTAATCTCCTGCTGAGGCAGGAAGATGATTTCAAGTTCGAGGTCAGTCTCGGCTACAAAGTGAGCTCAAGGCCAGCCTGAACGGCAGAGAGACCCTGTCTCAAAAAGACCAAACAAAACAAAACAAAAAAAAAATAGCCCGATCTCAAAAACAATGTTATTTACGTTGAAATGGATTCACTTCTTTAAATAACGTTTTTTAAATTTGTTTTCTTTTCCAAAATGGTAAATACCAATACAAGTATGTAACTGTAAATGTTCTATTTTAATCTGGTCACACATTATTTTTTAAATAGCATTCAGAAGCAAAAAAGTAGAAATTTATTTACTGACATACAATATTCAAAATATTGCATAGAGAAGTTGTTCATACTTGCCAGGCATGGTGGCACATGCCTCTAGTCTCAGCACTTGGGAGGCTGAGGCAGGAGCATCACTCAGAGTTCAAGGCCAGCCTGTGCTACATAGTGAGTTCAAGGCCAGCCTTGAACTACATACTGACACCTTGTCTCCAACAAAAAAAAGCTGCTCATATTCTTTATAAATTACTAATGTTATAAATATTACTCAGCATATCCTATTTCATCCAAATAGTTTTAAAGGCTTATATAACATATATACTATTATTATATTTTTATTTATAAGTAATCTAAGCATCAAAAAGTCTCAATATACTCCAAACTAACAGTCTAGCCAGTAATTTCAGGCAATTTGAGTTTTCTTCCTTGCTTTTTAGGATTTCCTACTTTCCTATAAAAGCAAACATAATAACAAATAATTACCTCCAGAAAAGCTAAAACACTCATGTTCAAAAATAAAACCAGGGGCTGGAGATTTAGTTCAGCAGCACAGCACTCACCTGGCAAGCACAAGGTCATGAGTTCGATTCCCAGTACCGGGGTTTGGGGGACCAAAAAAAAATTAAATCTCAGGCTATAACACAGTTTGGTTCTCTAGCCTTGCCCAATCATGGCACATGTAAGAGAGATGGGATGACAGAAGGAGCCCATTCTAAGAATTGAGTCAAGGAATCAGCCAGGATGGAAAACAGGTATTCTCTTGGCTGGCACAGCCCCCTCCCCCACCCCAGGCCAGTTACCTTTCCAGGTTGTAATACTCGAGCCACATGTTGGCATACTTGGCATTTCCTTTGGTCATGATGCTATCCCAGAGTTCCCGAGCTTTTTGCATATTATTGCACAGCCGAGCCTAAAATGCATTAACAAGATCAGTCAGGAAAGCACCCAAACCTTTTGACACCAAGAGCCACACACAACGTACTTCAGACCTACCGAAGAAGCCCCTGTGAATCCCTCACTCCAGCGCTAACAGCCCAGACCACCCCCTCCTGCCCTTCTGCAGTGACAAGGACCCAGAGACCTGGCTAAGCCTCTTGAGAACAAAGTAGGAGACTCTGCACTCACACAACAGCACAGGGTGTTTTTTGATTTTTGGATTTTTTAAATCAAGCTTAACTGCAAGTGTTTGAGAGCAGTATAGAGAGAAAAAGGCTGACCTAGGACTAAATGCCAGATCTGCCACTGACAAACCCCATGACTCAGCCATCTCTCTGAACCTTAGTTTCCTCACCCTTAAGTCATTCCAAGTCTCTCAGCCTTACACCCCCTCAGATATAAAGCATGCTTAGAATTTTACAATCCTAACGAGTGATCAGGAGCAGGTTCCAGGTCTCAGTTGGGAGCCTCTGGCTCAGTAGTGACCTTTAGTGTGCAATATACTTTAATGATTTATCAATTCACTCATCTTTTATAAGAGACTAAAGCCCTCATAGGCAAAGAGCATACCGATCTGATTCCCTAGCACCTGGCAGAGAGCTGGCACACGATGCACACATAGCCTGCAGCGAGGGAGGGACTGAAGGCATGAACGAGTGACCAAGGGTCCTGCACAACGACATCAGCGGCGCAGCTTCTAGCTGAGCACTGTCGCCAAGATAAAACCCAACGTACATCAACCACGGTCCTTAACACGAATCCCTGTAGCACCTGGACTACCACCTCGGGTTCCAACCCACTTTTATTTCATCTTTTTAGAAAAAAATTAAACAAGGTCCTGAGAGATTTGTCAGAAACATTTACCTCAATCCTTGCCCAGTTCTGCATGATCGTGCAACTTGGATCTCCACTCTCACTGAAACCTTCAAGAATGGAATTAGTGAAAATTAGAAATTCTGAGGCAAATAATGCCCCTTGGCCGAAAAGGTACATCAGCTGTGAACAGGCAACAGGCATGGGCAAAGCAGTCAGAACAGACTTACGCTCTTCGACCTCCTGCTGCAGATACTCCAAAGCACGAGTGAATGTAGACCTCAGCTCTTCCAGCTCCTTACTGGAGTCTGTTAGAAACAGCAAAAAAAAAAAAAACCAAAAAAAACCGAAGTCACACAGCCTGCCATATGGAAGCCACAGAAATAAAACTGCCAATCTCTGCTTCATCACACAGAACGGGAAGAGAAACAGGAATACAGGACAGATGGACAGCACAATGACACGGGTGAACACAGGGTGCCGTGGGGTACCCAGTGCAGAGGGGTCTCCCCAGGTGGGGTGACGTGGGTCAACAGTGGACAGCTGAGGCTACATGTGGGAATTAACAGCTGGCACAGTGCACAAGCACAAGTTAGAGTCTCCCAGAGGCCTTCGGGGAGAGGACAGAGGATCCCGCAGAGATTCAAAGATCTAAGAGAAACACAGCAGTCTTCTTTTTTAAACTAGCTGGGCTTTGTACAAAGGACAGAAGTAATACATGAGAGACGAGGCTAGAGAGGCTAGAAAAACCAGTATGAAACACAGCCATCAATCTCTTCCTCTTCATTCCACAGACTGAGTGTTAAAAGTCATAAATAGCTCAGTTTGGGAGTGGCGGGGCGGGCTGGTCTTCACCGTTTAAACAAATGCGATGTATCTGGGGAAAAGGGACATCACACCAAAGTTGTGTTAAGAAAAAGTTCAGTTCTGAAGGAAACACGTGCACTTAAATACCTTGTCTGAAGTCAACCCTTCTCCTGAGGTAATCAAGGTACGCCTGCCAAATCTCCACATAATCTGTGGCCTGGATGAAGCCAGCATTCAAAGCTTTCTCGAAGGTCACTGAAGTTGGAGGAAAAAGTCGGGACTCACTGCCAGTTCACAAAGGAGCTCATATAAAGTTATCAAACTACCTACTATAAAATACTACATGATTTTTAAAAACAGTCATGATAACAGGATACTAACAATGTGAAATAAGCGGGAGAAAGTGCTCAAAAAGAGAGGCTTCTACGGTGCTTGTAAAAGCATGTTCCAGAAAGGACCATGTTCTACAAAGCACTCGGAGCACCAAATACTCTGCAGTGAGAGTCCCAGGTCAAATAAGCCTGGAAAAAAGACCAGAACTTCCTGGAATATCACAATGAGGATAAGCAAGTGGAAGAGCTCTAGGAAGCCAAAATATAACCCATTTAGGCCCACTTACAGCCCTTTTGTCACTAACACTCAGTATCCCAGAGAAAACCCTAGAGATTGCTAAAGTGATGACTTCACCACAGCTCTACGCTTCTCACTTGGGACAAAAAGCTTACAAGTCTTTCCACAAAAATATCCGCACCAGAAATCTCTCCATGTTCAACTCCATGTCTCTCCATGGCCAAGAGGTATCGACTCCACAGGGCCACCGTCCAGGGGCAGTTTCTGACCGCACGACTGTGTACAGATAAAACCAAATCCTTTACTTTCAGCTGCCGATCCTATGGTAAAGAATTCCAGGGTTAGAAAATGAAATTTTCTTAAGATTTCATCACCAAAGAGATAGTGCCAGCATAATCAAGTGACAAAAGAAATGCCCACTGAAATGTCTCCTGTGACACAGTGCCTTCAACAGAGTAATGACCCCTGCGGTGGAAGAAAAGAGAGATGGGGCAAGAGAAGAACCTGTAAGTCAAAATAGCCCTAATAGACATAACTGATCCTACTATATAGACCTCTTTTATATCCTCTTATGTGTAATCTTTTATACACACATAGTAAAATATTTATTAATGAAATATCATTTCTGGATTTGTTTGAAAATAACTCAGAAAAGGGAAGGAAGTAGGTAAGGATAGCTATGAAGCCACAAAACCAGACCAGAGCTATAACTGCTCTTTATTGCCGAAAGTGGATGATAGGCATCTGAGGCTTCATTTTACCAATCTACTTTTATGTTTATATTTGCTAATAAAATATTAAAAGGAAAAAAAAAGAATGTACTATTAAGGCCTCAACAGTAATGCTGTAAGTAAATTTTTAGTGCTGTAACTTTAAACATGAGAAAAAAATTCCCAAGCAAGTGGCAAAAAGGAAAAGGGGAAGATGGAAGAAAAAGCAGAAAGGGAAAAGCATGCAACTCATGCCAGACACACTTATTGATCACCTTTAGACATTCCAAACTGTAAAAGCAAAATAAAATCAGAACAGTTATCTTACTAGGTACTGACTGTAACGGATCCATAAGTCTGGGACAAGGCAGTTCTCCACCAGGGCACGCTCAAAGATCAGCTGAATGCGAGCAGGGTCGCCAATTTTCATCTCAAAATCGATGTATGCCTGGTATTCTGCCAGCCTCGGTGCCTCTGCTTGCAACTAAAGCACAGGAAAAGAGCACTGAAATAAAATTTAGTTACTTGACACTGTCGGGAAGCACAAAGCATCCTCAAATAAAATAAATGTTGGAAAGAGTGGCAACACTAAGAATCACCAAATCCTCCCTCTCAAATACCCCACAACAGGATCTATAATTTGATGAGCAGAGTGACAGTCTTCCCACCTGGTCCAAAGCAGGGCAGCAGTTACAAAGGCTATAAAACCCTTCTCTAAGTGCCTTCCAAGATCACAGGGAATTTAAACAGTCCACCAACCAGAAAATGAAGAGCAACACGTCAGCCAGTGATTACTGCTAAGCATCAAGTAGAGGGATGGAAATCAGAGCAGGAAAATTCAGTGTCTTAGGCAATTTCAATAGCTTACTCCAAATATCAGTCCTACAAGAGTACAGGTACAGGCAAAAGACAGAAGGGGCTGGCTGAATGTTTACTGAGCCAAAGACACACAATCACAAGTCTTTCTACACAGAAGCCTCTTATTCAACTTATTTTCTCTTCAGCCATTTTGCTGATGGCCACAAAAAAACTGAACTGCTTGAGGACTTCACTAAAGATGCTGTGAAACACAAGTACACAGAAATCATGTACATGTGAAAAAGAAAGGGCGAGGGGGACTGTGCAGGCTGACCAGAAAGCATAAATGCTCTCTCTATAAAAACACAAGGCTTCAGAGCCTTAGTTTCCAGTAATGGAGATGAATTAGTTATCTAGATACTCTATGGCACTGATAACAACTAAAATTTTCGTATTAAACATAAAAATAATCTTAAAAATCATCAACAAACTGGCAAATAAACACAGAGCATAAAATCTAACTTAGGACAGTAAGCTAAGTAAAAGTGAAGTGTTTACTGGCTTAAGAATTTGATATTCACAACAATTATGAGACAGATCTCATTACCACCTCAAGGAAACTGAGTCAAAAGGAGCTGAAGTACTACTCTGAGTTAGTAAATGGTAGAGCTAGGATTCAACCCCAAGTCAAAAAGGCTATACTCTTACTCAATATACCAAGAAAAGTATTAAAAATATAGTCACGGAATCCAATAAACTTCAAACAGGGTAAATAAAAAGATAGCCTTCCCAGGATCTATGGTAAAGCAACTGCAAGACATCAAACAAAACCAATGAGATCTTAAAATTAGCCAGAAAAAAAAAATAATCACCTTCAAAGAAGTTAGGCACCTGACTTCCCGAGGGCAACAACAGGAACCAGAAGACAGAAAGCTGTACTCACCTGCTGAGAGAACATTCCTGCAGCAAGGAATTCTGTAACCTGAGAAAATTACTTTCAAGATGCAAAGCAAAGCAAAGCAATTGTCAGACACATAAAACTGAAGATCTGTTACCAACAAATAATCCACGTGGGATACTCTACAGGCTATACTTCAAGACAAAGAAAAATAATTTCAGATGAAAGATCTAGGATAGAAGAAGGAACAGTAATGCAAGCAGGAAATTTCAACAAACAGGAACTGTATATTAACAATGAGCCTGGTGGGTCAAACAGAAACACAAGAAAAATTCAAGAAAACAAGAGCATAAGTAAACAGTAAACAAGAGAAATGTTCTAATAACAAGAAAGGGGCAAAAGGCAACTTAAAAATAGTGCTGTTGCTCACCATGGAGGCAAACACCTATAATCCCAGAACTCTGGAGGCTAAGGCAGAAAGACTGCTGTGAGTTCAAGGCCAGCCTGTACTATACAGTGAGACTCTATCTCAAAAAATAAAAAATAAAAGTAAGATTGTCAACACAGAATACTCAAAAGACCCTACAAATTAATAATAAGATTTTAGCAAGTTTGCTAGATTAAAAAATTAATATAAAATACCTGGCGTTTTATATGCCAGGAATAACCGGAAAATGAAAGTGTTTAAAAGAGATCATTTACAAATGTATCAAAAGGGGCTGGGGATTTAGCTCAGCGGCACAGCGCCTGCCTGGCAAGCGCGAGGTCGTGAGTTCAATTCACGGTACCGGAAAAAAAAAACCCAAAAAACCAAAAAAAAAAAAAGACTACAAATATATCAAAAACCATTTTTAAATACATCTTTAAAAATGTTTTCAAAACACTAGCTAAACTTATAAAATCATTATAAAACTTTACAGAAAGATAAAACTTAAAACAGCAGAAACACATAAATGCTCATAGACTGAAAGATTCCTCCTCAAACTGATCTACAGATTCAATGTAATTTCAATTAAATAAAAAACTTGAATTTTAAGAAACTGATTTTAAGTTTGAGGGACGCTCTTGTAACAGTTAAAGAAAGCCAAGCCTGGGGCTGGGGATTTAGCTCAGCGGCAAAAGCGCCTGCCTGGCAAGTGCAAGGTCGTGAGTTCGGTTCCCGGTACCGGAGAAAAAAAAAAAAAAAAAAAAAAAAAAAAAAAGAAAGCCAAGCCTTTCTAAAAGAGGTCCAAGGCAGATGGGACTCATCCAATTTAAGATCAAACGTCATAAAGCTATCATCGCTGTGACAGTGTAACACAAACCAGAAGGTAGAACAGAGAACCCAGAGACAGGCACATAATGGATGTTAATCTAGGACAGATGTGGTACTGTGCACCAGGAAGAGATGATACAAGTAATCAGAATCAGAACTGGTTCTCCATATGGAAATACGAAATTGGACCCTGCCTCATACCATACACAAAAACCACTTCCAGGTGGATAGAGACCTACCATGAAATAAAGACTATAAAACTTTCAGGAGAAAACAGAGGTAAATACATAAAGACCTGAGCACAAGAGGGTTCTTAAATGTACAACAGTTTTTTGTACACCCCCAAAACACAAACCATAAGAAAAAGTATGATATCAGTAAATCCACTTATATTAAAATTAAGAACCATTCATCAAAATAAACTTTCAAATACAGGGGGAAGAGACAAGCCACAAAGTGGGAGACAATTTTTGTAATACATATAACCAAAACTAAGGATTAAGACTCAGGACTCCCAAGAATCAATTAGAGAAAAGGAAAATGAAAACAAAACTGAAAATTTTTTACCAAACTTTAAACAAGCACGTCACAGAAAAGGAAATTCTGTGCACAGCCAATGAACGTGAAAAGCTGCTCCACAGCATTAGCAACCAAGGAAAATGCAAATTAAAACTGCAATTTCAATAAAATCCACTAAAGCTTAAGTAAGTTGATACAGAAGGTCAAGAACCAAGAATGCAGATTCTGCTGGCAGGAACACAGCCAATGGCCTGGGAAACACTTCAGCATCACCCTGTGGCCCAGCAATTCCATTCCTAGAACATATTCTAGAGAGAGCCAGCAGGAGACACAGGAGACACCAAGAGACACATTAACATTCAGAGCAGTGCTGTTGCTCCTAGTGAAAACCTGGAAAGGACTCAACTATTCAGCCTCCAGGACAAACTGTAGTATACACACACAACTCTGCAATAATGAAAACAAATAACTAAATACTTATCAACATGAATAAAACCCAAAAACATGCTCGATGAAAGAAGATATACAGCAAGAATCTATTATATGAAAGTTCAAAAGCAAGCAAAATTAAACAATATAGCAATTAAGGATACGTTCAAAGGTTGTAAAAACTGTAAAGAAAAGCAAGGGAATGATTATCACAAAAGTCAGGAAAGTGATTACCTCTCGGGAGAGGGAGGAGGAGGCAATCGGAGAGGGGCACATAGGAGACTTCTAAGGTACTGGCAATGTTCTATTTCTTAACCTGGGTGGTGGGTACATGGATGTTCACTTTATTATTAGGATGTAAACTGTATGTACACATTTATACACTCTATATACTGTACAATAGAATAAACTTTAAGATGCTATTTAACTCACAACTATCGATCAGGAAATATCTGCAGAGAAGTTTACTATCAAAGCAGCCAACACTCACCAGCGCTTCTTCATAGGGTTTGTACTTCTCCAGCTGCTGCAGTGCTTTCTTATAGTTCTGAATTACCGACTCCGGTACGGGGTCTTCCGACCATTCTTCATACTCTGCAAATGTGGCCTCCATATCTATTGAAAGATGAATTCAGTCCCATGGGTCTTGCTATTTGGGTTTTATCAACCCAAACACAGAAAAAGCCGTAAGACTCCAGTGCCACCAGCCCCAGACTTAGCACTCAAATCTATCTTAGCTGTAACCCTGACAGCTAAGTAATCAGAGTCAATGACACCACCAGCAACAGTAACACTTTCACAAAACTCACCTAGTGCTTCACAGCCTAGTGCAGTGGTGGCGAACCTATGGCATTTGTGCCACTGCGCTGTTCATCTCACTGAAAGCTCTAAAAAGTTCGCCAGCACTGGCTTAGTGCATCATACCTATGTTTCCAACACTTCACATCCATTACCCCACTCGGTCCTCACGATGCTGTAAGGTAGGCGCCACTGTGCTCCTCACTTTGCAGGTGAAGAAACTACAGCAGAGGTGTGGTAAGTCACTTAGCCACAGGAAACAGCAGAGCAAGCCTTTGCACCAGGCAGCTGGCCCAAGCTCACACTCTAACTACTAAGCCAAACTGTCTCACACCGGTATATGAGACAAAATCTACAAACCCATTCACTCTGGTCATGCAACAATTGGGTTAGAGACTCGTTTTCTGATATGTTAAATTAAACCCAAATAAACCATGAAGCTTACTTATTCCTCAAGCAGGGAAACAACACCTAGGCTCAGGCAAGGGTGCCCAGAGGTTCTGCGTGTAGATAATGCACGACCCAGCTTCGGGGGCACACAAGAGGGCAGTACCCTCCTGGTGCAAACCAGGGTCACAGCTCCAGAGTAAAATAGCTGGCCTTGCCAAAATGTGTTCATCCAAAAAGGAGACTCTCTCCCAAAGCCCAAGAAATGCAGACATCAGTACTTCCAATCAACTGTACTTCTAACCCACCTCACCCCCCTCCCCCAAAGGAACGATATGCAAAATCACCACTGTGTTAAGGAAAAAGAAAATGCTTACAAGAGAACTTTTATGGAACAGTTTCTGCAGAAAATACAGAAGTCTTTACCTATTCCTTTCAGAAACATTATCTCCACATTTCCAACTTATCTCTTTTTTTTTTTTTCTGGTACCAGGAATCGAACTCACGACCTCGCACTTGCCAGGCAGGTGCTGTGCCACTGAGCTAAATCCCCAGCCCCTTCCAACTTCTCTTAAAGTACGAAAGAGACCTCTACTGGGCATCAAGGAGTAGTCCTGCCACTGACCCTTACAACCTTCTCTGGCATCAATGATTCAAGAGAGGTGTGACTAGCCAAACATGGTGGCACACGCCTGTAATCCCAACACTCAGGAGGCTGAGGCAGGAGGATCGTTGCAAGTTGGAGACCAGCTTGGGTTACAAAGGGACCTCAAGGCCATCCTGAACTGCATAGTGAGACCCTGGCTCGAAGACAAAAAAAAAGAGAGGTGTGACTAAGGACCTCATCCACAGTGGCACTGTCCAATGAGAATGGAACACACCATACCTGCCTCATAGAATGCTAGAAGAGGTCTTATCACAGGACATACTCAGAAGCAATGTAAAACCACAAAGGGCTGGCTGCTGACAAGTTAGTTTCTCTTACCATAGAGCGGGATCGCCAACTGTCGCCGAAACAGAGTGTGGATTTTCTCAAGCTGTGAATCAAAGGTTTGTTCCCGGTCAAAAGGGGAAAGGAAGCCAGCTATGGGCTAAAGAAGCAAATTAGTAGTAAATGACAAACTACGGTTCTTTCTACTTCAAAAGACATCTCAACAGATTTTCAATACAAACTAAAAAAATTTCTATGACTTTCATGAAGCATCGGGTCAAATGCCAGAGTACAAAACTGAATGTCATCTGTGCCTCAAGGGCTTATAACAGGGAGATCAAAAAAGAATACAAGAAACATATCCATGCCATGTGTGTGGTGGCACACGCCTGTAATCCCAGCTCTCTGGGAGGCTGAGGCAGAGGTATCATAACTTAAAGTCCAGCCTGGACAATTTAGAGACTTACTTAGGGAAAACTTGTCTCAAAATAATAATAAAAAAAAGAAACCTATCCAAATGCCTACAATGTTGCAGGATGTAACTATCATAACAGTAAAGTATCATAAGGATCACAGCATCACATGGATTGCTAGGAGGTGCTTAGGGGTGAGTTGTTACACAGAAAATCAGGACAGGCTCCCAGAGGAATGGGCACCTGGAAAGCACCTGGAGACTCAGTAACTTCTGCTGACGGAGTCTTCTGAGTAAAGGTACAGCGGCCAGAATGCTGTGGGCACAGTGGCCGCAGAGGCCACGCAGGGATGATGTCTGACACTAGACAGCTGGGAATATCAGACCGAGGCACCAGGCCTGACACCTTACTCATGGTAAGCTGAAGGCTCACTACAGACTTGTCAACAGGATTGTAAGCAAGAGGTACTAGGGCTACTTAATCACATAGGCTGAGATGGGCCAAAAGTGTTTTGAATTTTGGATTTTTTCAGATTTGGGGGTATCTGCATGTCTATAACAAGATGTCTGGTAAGGGGAGCCCAGTTTAATTCATGTTACACAGACAGCCTGAAGGTGATTTTACACAACAGGTTTACAGCACCTATGTTCTGACTGCAACCTGTCATCATGAAATTGCACCATGGCAGCACTCAAAAGTTTTAGATTTTGGGGCATTTCAGATTTCACATTTTCAAATTAGAGGTGCTCAACCTATCATCATTTACCTCTTAGAGTGCTCAACTATGCACCATCAATAACTCTATGCATATGTACACAGAGAAGGGACACAGCTATAAAATTCTATACATCTGCCGGGCATGGTGGCACACATCTGTAATCCCAGGACTTGGGAAGCTGAGGCAGGAGGATCGCTGTGAGTTCAAGGCCAGCCTGGGCTACAAAGTAAGTTAAGGCCAGCCTGAACTGCACAGCAAGTCCCTGTCTCAAAAAAAAAAAAAAAAAATCTATAAATCATAGTTTAAAAATGCAATTTTGATGGGATTAAATCTCCCTTCAGTTGCAACTGAAATTTATACATAATACACAAACACACATATATATACATTTTATATATAGTGACATGACTATTCTTGTGCATTTACCTGGAACTATGTAACTAAAGCAAAAGTATTTTAAATCAAAAGAACAAAACAGAAGAGCCTACTTTTAAGTTAAAGAAATCATTCCTGCTATTTCACAAAGACTACTGATCTCTTTTTATTATTTATCCACTAGGAAATTGGCAAAAATCATTTTCTTAACAGGAGACTCGTATCGGATGTTTGTTTCAAAGAATACTTCCGTGACACGTCCTAGAGACAACTGCTAACTACTCAGAGGCAGGCGTGGGTCCCAGAGACCTGGCACTCACCCGAGCAGCTTCCACAATGGCACTTTCGAACTCTCGGTAAGCCTCCCAGATGGCCAGTCCTTTGGTCATATGCAAACCGACAGAGGAAAGCGCCCTTTCAAACACAGAGCGAACCTTCTCCAGGCCGCCTTTCTGACCAATCCCACCGACTGAGTACTGGCCATACTCTAGCCATATGTTAGGACCTAAAAATGAGAAGCATTCTATCAGTTCAGGGCGTAACATATCCAAACACCACAACAGACGCAGGATATGTGCCCACCAAGAAGGTAAGAGCATAATCAACAAGCATCGCAATTTATCTATACTAATGCTGCAGCCTGAAAAGAATTATCTTCATAAACAACTACAGTTATTAGGATTTTACTGCACAAACCAAGTGGTATATGCCAAGTGGTAACATACAGAACAACAATTATGACTATAAAGTTCATTTAGTAAAACTAAAGGAAGCTGGAGCTATAGCTCAGTGGGTAAGGAATGTGGCTTGATTCCCAGCACCAAAACAAAACAAAACAAAACAAAAAAACCTCTAAAGGAGCCCAGTACCAAATATCAATGACAATAGTTATGAAAGATTTCCTAAAATTTTTCAACGTTCAAACCCTGATTCATTTTTAAGTCATCTTGTCAAGAAATAAAATTAAAAGCCCTGATCCTATGAATAAAAATCTGTATTTTAAAGCTCTATTTTTAATGATGTTCATTGAAAAGAAAAATGACATGGTTGCCTTATTCCTTTCACTTTCTTTTTATGTACCCACTCCTGTGCCTTCAGGCTCAGACCCATTAAGCTATCTGTGGTGTTCTATTTGGTTTTTTGGTACCGGGAATTGAACTCATGACCTTAGGCTCGCCAGGCAAGCGTTTATGCCACTGAGCTATATCCCCAGCCCATTAAGCTATTTGTGAATGTATTCATTCTTACTGTACATATTTTGCCCTCGTAAGTCACTTTCCAGGGATCAGAAAATAATTTCAGGGGCCTACCATTAATTTTTTAAAACAATACTAGAAAGATCATGCAGCCAATTTGGGAATTACTGACTCGTTTGTGGGGCTTTTTCACCCGGCACTCACAGATGTAGTCCTTCACGGCTTTCTCAAAGAGGTCGTACACATGCTCCCGGTCAAGGCCATCCATGGCCATGCTGATCTCATCGTGCAGCCACTCCAGCCAGAGCTCTAGAGACAACAGCGCCGCCTGCATTACCAGCTCCCCACCAGAGGGCAGGCCGAGTGCAGGCTTTACCGGAGGTATCAGTGCACACACACTTTACACATTTTAGTTACACAACCCAGCCTTGTTCACCAAGTTCAAACCTTAAACCCTCAATCAAGCACACAGGTTTTATGCTTCCAAATAAGATGAAGTCATTCAAATAATAACAGTCCACACATGTTGGACATTTTATATTTTGTGAAATATTTATATATTTTTCTCATTCAATCTTTATCTCAACCGTGTAAGGTAGGTGATAGCATCAACAGCAGCCATCGAAGGATCTAAGCCCTGTCAGGAACATGTTAACTGCTGTACAGAGGAGAGCTCATTCTATTGTCATGCATTGCAAGACATAAACAACCACTATCCTCCTTTTACTGCCAAGAAAACTGAGTCTTAGACTGTTTCCATCATTTGCTTAAGGCCTCACAGTTAACAAGAGGTCTAGCTAGGAAAGAATGAATGGACGATCGGACTTCAGCAGGCTTCACTCAGCAGTTTCACTTTGCAGGAGAGAGACAGAGCTGAATCTACAAGGGTTTTACAACTCCTGTCCCAAAGATCCCTTACAAATAAATACTTATGAAGATTTAACTACAAAGTTATTCAGTGCAATGACACTATTTAGCAAGTATGTAGAAATAACCTAAATGTGCAACTATTTATGGAACAATGAAATTATGAAACTTCTGCATTAAAAACTATGTAAGTTTAAATATATTTACAATATGCTGGTTCTGACAAAACAGGATACACACAGGCCTACTGGAATGGGAAACAGATTAGGGTAAAGTTTAATTACACAGAAAAATTCTGTCATAGTATTAGGATAAAGAAATCAGGATTCAAAATGTAAATCCAGGCCAGACATGGTGGTGCATGCCTGTAATCCCAGCACTCGGAATGCTGAGGCAGGAGGACTGCTTTGAGTTCAAGGCCAGCCTGGGCTACATAGCAAGACCCTGTCTCAAAAAGACCAAAAAAAAAGTGAAACCCTGTTGTATGATCACACCATGTTCTGCAATAAACTAAAAATAGCTTGACTTTGAATGACGGACTTTCTTCCTTCCACTCTACACTACCTGTTCCAAATTCTCTATAAGGAGCATATCCTATCTTCAGCATCGAAAAGTGGTGCATGCTCCTCTACGTTCCGTAATCCTAAAAGCAACCGTACTGCAGACACGTTACCTTCAGTCAAAGGGAAGATCTCGCTCATTTTCTGGCGGGCCATCCTCACTTTGGTGAGCTCCCCTTCCAGCCGGAGCAGCCTGATCAGGTCCACGTGACAGTTGTAGTCATAGATGTTGATGGACAGCTAACAGGAAAAAGAACAGAAATTAAAATTTAAAACTTTGATCCTCACCTTACACAAAATTTAACTAAGATGGTTAGAACACACAGAAAATCTTCAGGATCTACAGCTAGGCAGAATTCCTAGACTTGATACCAAAAGCATAATTCATGAAACTGGACCTCTTCAAAATTAAAAACTTTTGCTCCATAAAAAGCCATGTTAAATGGATGAAAAGACAAAGAACAGAAGGGAAAAGAATATTTGTAAGCCAACTCAAGGCTAGTATTTAAAAAAATTAACTTTAAACAACAGTTAAAAAGAAACCTACAATTAGAAAACAAGCAAAACAATATTTCACCAGAGGACAAACAGACCACCCGTACGCATGAGTAAGTGTTCAACGTCATTAGCTATCAAGGAAATGTAAATTAAAACCACAACAGGAGATCACTATACAGCTAGGAAAATAACTACAATAAGAAAATGGAGACACCAAATGCTGGTGAAGATCCTTAAAAAAACTAGACTACTGATACCTCATGTAACACTTGTAAGAAGGTAAAAATAGGAAAAAGTTCAGTAGTTTCTTGTAAGACCCAACACACCATATTATATCACTCAGTGAGGTCACCCTTGGTTATTTCCCAGGATAAATAAAAACTGTGTACACCCGCACACCTGTCCCCGAGTGTTCATACCAGCTTTATTCCTAACAGCCAAAGCTGGAAACAACCTGGATGCCTCAAAGAAACATGGTTATACTAGCTGTGGCACATCCACACCAGGGAATACTATTGAGTCATAAAAGGGAAAGAACTAATAATATGCACAACTCGGATGAATCACTAGGGAATCATGCTGAGTAAAAAAAAGATTCTCCCAAAAGGTTGCATACTGTATGATGTGTTTATGTAACATTCTTGAAACAGCAAGGTAGTTTTGCGTCAGAAACGGAATCATTGTAATTTTCCACACTAGCAGAATTGAGGGAGAAAAAAGAGTGATCTTGATGCAGAAAAGGCACTTGACAAAAATGCCCATTTGTGATTAAAAATTTTAAAACTAGCAAACCAAGAATTGAAAGGAACCACCTTAACAAAGAAGAATATGTATTCTGCTGGCATGTGGCTCAGTGGTAAAGCACTTGCTTAACATGCACAAGGCTCCAGGTTCAATTCCCAAAGCTGCAAAAAGGAAAAAAAAGAAAGAAAAGAAAAGGTAAATGTGACAGCATCTGAATTATGTTTTTTAAAAATCTTTCTTTTAAAGTATTTACAAAAACCTACAATAAACATGATTCCCAACAGAGAAACACTAGAAGAAGTCCTTTCAAACAACAGGGAGACTCCAGTATCACCTTCTATTCAACCCTCTACCAAAGGTCTGAGCTGAGACAGACAAGGAAAAGAGACTGATACCCTAAGTAGTCCAATTCACACAAACAGAAAGAAAAACAGCGGCCACCAGAGCCTTGAGGAAGCAAGGAGTGAGGGCGCACGCCGTTAATGACATAAGATGCTTTAAAGAAGAGACTTCAAAGAAAGAAGAGCACAAAATAATCTGCAACTGACTTGCAACTCCCTATGAAAGATACCACACCTCTCTGTACCTAGAATGAGGGTAAGAGATATGAGACAGCCCAGGTGGGAAGGAAACAGCAGGTGCCGTCAGGGGGAAGGCAAGATGGAAAAACGGCCTTTACTTAGCACCTGCTATGTGCCCAACAGTGGCAGGGGCTCCACATGCACTGGGTCACTTATGTGCCCCGATCCCCTTGTGAGGGAAGGTGGTCACAACACTCACTTGACCAAATGGGGCATACTGGGCTCAGAGAGCTGAAGTAACCTGCACAAAGTCTGTCCACTACAGCAGGGAAGGCTTGTATTCATCCAAGCTCATAGAGTTACACTCTGTCCTGCACCTAAGGCAAGATGACATGCCACTTTTAGTCTAAGCACACAAACACAAACAATAAAAAAACTCTGCTTTTGTTATATAGCTAAATACCACTTTGAGAGCCAGCTTTCCTAAAATATATTCAAATGAGAATCAGAACTTACAAATACAGGAGGGTCAGATTTTTTACAGAGCTATCTGGCAGTCACTCAGCATTACGCTCCACCGTAAGGGTACTTAGGGCAGGAACAAGAAGCCTGAGTCTAACATAAAGTGTGACAGAAGCAGAGAACAATTTGAAAATTCCTGCTCTACACCCAGAGAAACGATGACAAGGCTGGAGGCTCTTCAATTCTGCATCACCTGCCTGGTCCTGCCCTGCACGGTCAAGGAGCTGCGGAGGGGCAGACAGCTCAGTACTAGAGGCCAGAAGCTGTGTGGTGGGGCCCAGGAAACAGAGCTCTTCATCAAGGACTTCAGCTCTCCAGCTCCAACCTCGCCTGCCCTGCCTTCTAAAACAAGTGATCCTCCTCTCACCCTTCCTAACACACACACACAAACACACACACACACTCACACTCACAAACACTCGTGCACACATGCATGCACTCGGGGGAGCAGTTTGAAGAAATTATTTCAATGAGGGAAAGAACACAACCAACCTGGCACCCACATCACACTGTATTTGCTGAATGAATTAACACTGACTTATTCACAGAAAGTAGAAACAGCAACCACCTGCATGCCCCAATTGATTCATTTGACAATCAGCCACGATGACAAAAGAGACTAAACCAATTAACAGTATCTCTGCTTCAGAACTTGAGAAAATATCAGTGCTAGAAGAGGTGTTTTAAGGAAACTGACACATCCCCCAGTAAGGGAACATACAGCAGGGCACTGGGTCCACAGATAACTTTTAAGAATACAAATCCCACTATGGATGACATGAAATGAATCGTTTCATTTGTTTTGAACCTTGTTTCCTTGCCTGTAAAAAGGAGAATGTGCTCAAGATCTTTTAAGTCTTGTAATTCCAAATGCACTCCACCCTCTGCTCCCTGTCAGGTGTCCCCTTGTCCCTGTGGTCCATCCCAGTCCCCGGTCCCCCTCCTCCCCGGCATAGAGCAAGTTGGGGGTTTCTAGCTCCCTGGCTTCCAAGTGGCTTTACCCACCAGGAGTCTCCAGCAGAAGCCTGGAGGAAGAAAGCAGGAAATTCAGGATACAGTATTCATTCCCCAGCCCCCGACCAAAGGTCTCAGCAGGCGCAGGTGCCTTCCGTTCAACTACTCAGATAACTCATTTTCACCTCCTTCACCTCTGCAGGCCTAACGGTGGACACCAAGTCTTGCTATGAGTAGCCATGGAGTGCTAAACTTTCACTCCTGGTTCCCCTGCCCACGTTTTCATAAACACAGACATCCTTTATGGATCTTTTCTCCAACTATTCTAATTTGAACTTGCCGCCGATTTCCTGCTAGGACCCTGGGTCCTGGCGATGTCACCACTCCCCAAGGCTACAGATCGGAGACCACAACACCACCGGGCGCCAGCCACTGCGTTGTGATTACTAGGACAACTACGTGATGCAGGAATTGTTGCTCCTACTATACAGAGAAGGAAGCCCGGGCTGAGAAAAATTCCCGCTAACACACACACGGAGTGGAATACCTAAGCCTAAGGGCAAGGCCTTCGGACGGGTTTTCAACCTCTCTCTTTGCATTCCTACCATCGTCCTGGTCCATACTTTTCCCCCTCCACCATATCCTAACACTGTCGTTATCCCTACAGGAAAACAAGACTTCTTGTGAATGAAACGTTATTTCAACATGGAGCACCGTTTGACTTTGTGGTTAAGATGAGGAGTTGTGGCGTGGGCTTAAAGCACAGGTAGCACAAGAGACTCCTCCGTAACACCCAGCCAACACCACGTCCTTCACCGATCGCTCGTGGGGACGATGCAATGAGACGACGCTTGCAAGGCACCGGCTCGCTCTCGGAGCTCCAGCCGTAGGAGCTAAGAGGTAACAGCGCGCCCGTGGCCTCGGCGGTTTTCTTGCGGCCAAGGACCAAGGGGGCGGGCCGAGACCTGGGGTCCTAAAGGAAGGAGCCTGCTGTCCACCCCGAGCCCCACCTGCTCCTCCAGCCGCTCGATCTCCAGCTGGTTCTTCTCCTCCTCCTCGTCGTACTCCCACTCGTAGTCCCCCGGGGAGCTCTCCGCGGAGGAAGCCATGGCGTACTCCTCATCGCCCTCGCTGTCGCTCACACCTTCCTCCTGCTGGTCCCACTCCGGCCCCATAGTCTTGTACGTCGCGGCGGCCACAGCCCGGGATAACACTTTTCTCCTCGTCCGAGCCACCTTAACTTCGTCCTCCTCTCCCTCAGCCTTGGCCCCCGCTTTGGGCTCGCTCTCCGGCTCGGAAGCCGAGGTTGCGGCCGCCGTCGCCATCTTGCGTTTCCAGTGATTCCCGGGTCTTTCCTCGGCCGACGAAGACCCGTGGAAATAGAAGTCGTCCGAGGCGCGCGCCTGATCAAAAGCCCATTTTTGTGCCGCCGAAAAGGAAACTAAAAGCCTTCTATGATAGGAAAATCCAAAGATACGTGCAATTATTATCACTTTATATATTCCTAAAACCTTCTGTCAGGGGGAAAAAAACTCCTTAACGTAACGTGTGTGCCGTCACAACCTCGGACAGAAGTTGGGCCTTTGGACTGGAAGTGGAAGCCATAGAGGAAATTGTGAAGTAAGCGTGATGCTTATAGTAAAAGGTTTGACGCCATCTTGAGAAGGTCAAGATGAGTCTTAGAATAAACGCCCTAAAGTCTAGTTCACCCTAGAGCGTAGTTTGGTTTCCCAAGAACCGACACTCAAATTCGGAGAAAATCCTTAGTCTTCAGGAAAGGATCGATCGCACCATTCATAAGAAAAGTCTATTTTTAAAAATGATTCCTTCCTCTTATATAACGCCTAGTAGACACTAAATACGTGAATTTTCTGGTTTTGTAAGATCGTATTCTGCAAGTCAATACTAATAAATTGCATCTATAAGCATTTTTAGAAATTCCTAGTTGCCTTGCGTTGTCATAAAAATTTTGAGTTTGCTGTTGTTTTAGAAGTACATATAAAGATGGATTTTAAAAGATGGACACTGTATATACTTTCTAAAATCAGAGGGGGGAGTTCATTTTTTAATTAACCTTCCCTTTTATGAGGTTGGAAAACGTCTCGCCTTTCTCCCTCATTAGCAACTTTAATGACACAGGAAGTGTATCTCTTTTGCTTTCCGTAGGATCCACAGGGTCTACCAGAGCATCCTGACACATAAGGGAGGAGATACTCAGAACATATTTGCCGTATGGATGAACTGTCCTTCAATTGGTACAAAAAGAGAAGATCGAAGATTGGTAGGCCTAAGTCCTTCGCCTAGGAGCAGAACCAATATTCTAACCCAGAATTACCCAAATTCGAATCCCTAACTCACGAAAGATCTCGGACAAACTACTAAAACGCTCTGAGCTTCAGCTTCCTTCGCTGCAAAACAGGGTTAGGAAAGGTGGACTGGGTGGTCCTCTGCACCGCATCCCAGCGGTGGGCTTTCTGAATGGGAACTTGGTCCTGCAGTCCAAGCCGACTGAGCTCTCCCGCGCACAATCGAGCTGGAACAAACCCTCCTGCGACTTCAGACCTTCGCGCTCCGCGATCCGTCTGCGCCCCTAGGGGGTGTGGTCAAGGCGGGGCCAAAAGGCAGGCGAGAGCACGGAGTTTGAAGGCGCATGCGCGAGGGCGAGGTGACCTCAGAGCCCCTCGCGGGCACGCCCCTCTCCCGCCTACCGCTCTGGACCGGCGCAGGCGCAAACCGGGAAGATGGCGGCGGCTGGAGCTGGCCGCCTGAGGCGGGCGGCTTCCGCCCTGCTCCTCCGGAGCCCCCGCCTGCCCGCCCGGGAGCTGTCAGCTCCGGCCCGGCTGTATCACAAGAAGGTATGGGTGGGCAAGGGGAAACGCGGATCATCCGAGGGATCCATGCACCTCGCAGGTCCCTGGGCTGGGAGGGACGACCCGCCCCTACGTTTGCCTCCGCGCACTTTCTCCCGCTATGCAGTGATACTGGCGGCCGCTGATGTGCCGCTGATACAGCGGCGCCGTCCAGTGCTCTCGCTGCTATCCGCCACTTCGCGTGTTCCAGCTTTAAACCCCCCGGCAGCCCAGGCGGGAGGGTTCTGTTGTGAATTACCGTTCTGCGTGGAGACACGCAGGCCAGCGAGAGATCCCGCTTCAGCTATAGCTAAGTGACCGTGGCGGGTCAGGGCCCCTCGCAGCCTGATTCCCCGGATGGGAAAGTGGAGGGCAGCAGTCCCCTACGAGAGACACTATATGTGAGAGGCCGTTTAAGACGCTGTTACTGTTCTAGGGGCCTCCAGGAGCTAGGCGGCTACCTAACAAGAATATTTGGTTTCTTGGCGGCGGGGCTGCTTCTGGCGACCCTTGTCTGCACGTGAGACTCGCTCCGGAAACAACTAAAGAATTCTGTAAATCCACGAGGTGCAAAAAAAAAAAAGACCCCATGAGATATTTTGTAGGTCCTTGGAGCTTGGAGTCAAAATCTGTGATCGGGTGGAAAGTAGGGGACGACTACAAGGTCAAGATACTTACTGCTCGCTGGTAAACAAACCTCAAGATTATGAAAGCTTGTGGTGTGCCAGTGTGAGTAAATGTTTGCTCTGTTCCGACTTCAGCGCGTCTGTGAAACAGCGCTTCTGTGAAAGCTTCGCCTCTCCCCCACCCGGGGGTGTGTTTTGTTGACGCTGCTCGCCGAAGGAAAGTGGGCTGGCAGCCTTTCAGCACCAGGGTGCGCTGGTGCACCGGCGTGGCTGCAGGGTCCTGAACACCAGGGATGGTGCCAGTTTCTTAATACGTAGGCAGAAAGGGACTCGTTCCATAGCATCGTTCTTTTCATAAAAGTCACCTCGAGGGTTCTGAGAGAGCTTCCATCTCTGGGCCGTATTTCTTTTAGTTTTTTTTTAATAATCATTCTTCGACAGTGGATTTTATTGGGAAATAAAACACCGCTTAAGCGCAAATCTGGTGATGTAAGTAGGTGAGAACCAAGTGACTGTGGTCGAAAACCCTAAGAAGCTAAAACCTTGACTTTTCTGATTTCGTTGCTCAATCTCAAACAGTGTCTGCAATCTCTGAAGGGAGTTGGAGACAAGACACGAAAAGAATTTGGGTCACAAATGATTCTCATCGATACAAGCATAGGCATTCCTACTGCACAGCCGAGTTCAGGTTGCTGACCCTGAGGGAGACTGATGCCAGTAGAGTGATCATGATTTCTCTAACCCTGTCATTTCAGGTTGTGGATCACTATGAAAATCCTAGAAATGTAGGCTCTCTTGACAAGACATCTAAAAACGTTGGAACTGGATTGGTGGGTGCTCCAGCATGTGGTGATGTCATGAAATTACAGGTACCACCTGGTTCGTCTTTATTCATGATAAGAGTAATCCCTGCACTTGAATGGGGCTTTTTAGTTGGCAGAGCACTTGTATATATAGCATCTCATTTAATCTTCATCTTTATTCGAATGAAATGGAATGAGTCAGTGTCAGAGGTGATTAGAGCAGAGACTCAGTCCTAATTTTCTAGCTAGAATACTATGCTGACCTATTCTGAAATAGGAAAGGGATCCGAATTCACTGTATCAGTTTAAATGTCAGCTTCAGCTAAGTGAAAGATTTTGTGGAATTTGCTGATCAAAGGAAACTTCTAGTGAGCTAACACTCCTCAGTGAGACAAGAAATGCAATAAACTAAAACTGTTCCCAAATTGGAAGTGATGTGAAGATAATAGATTGCACTTTGGATAAACCATAGCTTTAGCCACAGTCTCCTTCGTGGCGGGCAGACAGGTTGCCAGAGGTCTTCATCCCTATCTTGGAAAACAGAGACAAGACAAAAAGGAACTGCTGAGCGCAGTTCGATGCCCAAGAAGAAAATATTAACCACAGACCTTGGTTACAGAGTCCTAGTGTTTACGGGGACAAACTGCCTCAGCAGCTTTGAGCAGACGTCTTCAAACAGAACTTTATAGCCAAAAGGCATGCTAGGATTGCAAACAAAGTAAAACTAGTGTGGAAGGGGGTAATCTTAATCTCTCTTTACCAGCTAGGCCTGTCTAGTTGCTCCTAAGCCTCATTTTTCATCACTGAGGTCTTTCAAACAAAACAAATTTGGTAATGAATGGGTTAATTTCCAGTGTAGACAGCCCAGAGCTCTTGCAGAAGAATCCCACAGGTGTCTGTGGTTTTTAGAGGGTGGCACCAGGAATCACCACTTAACTCCTATCTCTTTTAGATTCAAGTGGATGAAAAGGGGAAGATTGTAGATGCCAGGTTTAAAACATTTGGCTGTGGTTCCGCGATCGCCTCCAGCTCCTTAGCCACGGAGTGGGTGAAGGGGAAGACGGTAAGCTTGCTTACAAGTGTGACAGAGTTAAAGCGCACTCTCTGCAACCTAGCTGTGGAAGGGCCTAGTGAGTCAAACAAACAAAAGTAAACGTAACCATGATTTCTCCCAAATATTATACAAAAAAATTTATTTCAACCCCTTTCTTCCTCAGCTGTTGATTGCATTCCTCACATTGGGAATCAGAGACCATTTTCTTAGGGATTGTTTAGGGACTTTTGTTACTGTTGATCATTTTTATTTGGGAGTTCAGGTGGTGTTTTGTTAATTACATAGAAATAAAGATTTTCGTCTATCTTTCTGACAAAATGAACTTGAGGCTGGACGTGGAGGTATACAGCTATGACACCAGGACTCAGGAGGCTGAGACAAGAGGATCATCACTGTGAGTCTGAGGCCAGCCTGGGCTACACAGAGAGTTCAAGGCCAGCCTGAACTACATAGGGAGACCCTATCTCAAAAAAAGAAATTGAAGTCTTTGTCTTTCTCTAAGGTTGCTGATATTCTTAGAGTTTCTTAGGTGTCTTAAATCAGGTTGTAGGTGTTGGATAATGGTTATTTTCCTATTTATTTCTCTCCCATCCTATTTTTTCAGGAAGGATTCCTGGTGCCTTACAAGTATTGGTGAAATAAACTAGCTTTTTTTTTTTGGATAGAGAATCAAACTCAGGACCCTGATCTTGCCAGGCAGGTGCTGTGCCAATGAGCTATATCCCTGGCCCTAAACTAGCATAAGTTAAAAAAGATATTAAAAGTCAAAAACACAGCAAGAGTAAGGGCAAAGTAAACAGCAGGGATCCAGGTGGCTGGTCAGCTGACCCGAGGGTAGAGACAAAAAGGACAGAACATCTTTTCCATGTTTTTCTCAACCATGGCCTCCTCCCAGCAGCTACAGGAGTAGAACTCTGTGAAGATCTGGACTGCAGAATCCACTTGCTATAACACCACTGTGAAAAGCCAACTTGCAGGGCGCTCATCCTTGACACCCCTGGGGAGCCAGCTCAGGGAGCTGAGTCATGGAAGCGCATGCTTTGGAATGCTGACCAACTCTCAAATAAAGCATTTTGCCAGACAACGTGCCACCTGCTTCCTGTGGCTCAGGGCCTGCTGCCTGGCAAGCTCTGTAGGCCACAAAAGTACGGGCCTAATCTGTTCGAACAGAAGGTAGATCTGAAGTGATAGGTCAAGAGCTATCCTCAGGGAGTGGGCAAACACAACAGGGTGCACTTCTGTGACCTGGCCTTTAGGAGGCTCTGAGTCATGAAGAAGTGGGGAAGAGCGCCTTCGACCTTGAAATCCTCCTGAGCCAGCCAGGGAGTGAGGCTGTTGGGGAAATCTGCCTTTCCTTCATGCGGTGGGGTTCTGCTCCACATGGGCGGGAACCTGCCTGCTTCACATCATCCCAGGGCTCCCACCCAGACCTCAGGCATCCTCTGCAGCCTGTATAGGAGGAGATTCTGTACTTCAGGCAAAGGATGAGTCCGAGCAGAGCTCTCAGCCCGAGACCTGCCAAAGCAGCACAGATAATTGCCTTAGAGCAGCGGCTCTGTTGCCGGCGTGAGCAGCTCCCTCGGAGATGTCCCGTGCGTCTGCACCTGGCTGGCGCGTCTCAGCTGTTCTTATTCTCCCGGCCCCGCGTGCAGGCGTGTGTACCTCACACTAGAGAGTCCCAGCAGCAGTTTAGCACACCAGTGGGAATCCTGAGAAGGCAGTAGGGTTTTGTTTTCAGTTATTAGGCAGAAATCATTCCCCGCCAACCTGTCCTCTTCGGCCTTCCTTTTTATTGTCCTACCCTCGCAAGATAAAGCTACAGAACCCTTCATCTTTCGCTTGTGCCTCTCAGGTGGAAGAAGCCTTGACCATCAAAAACACGGACATCGCCAAGGAGCTCTGCCTTCCACCTGTGAAACTGCACTGCTCCAGTGAGTCTGCTCCCCGGGTGCCGCCTGGTGGGGACACCGGCAGTAATTTCACTGCATGGGTGACGGTGCTGTCAGGTCGCAGAGCCCATGTATATGACCCGCAGAGGATCGGAGCTCATGGAGCCAGTCTTTATAACCTCCTGAGGGTTAGCACCTGCAGCCTCACAGCCAGGGGCTCCAGGGACTCATGCCAGGAGGCAGTGTGCCCAGGGAGGCACCGGGAGCGCTTGAGGGGCGTGGCTTTGAAACCTCAGAAAGGGGGTGAGTGCACAGTAGATGTCCTCACCCCCGTCCTCCAGAGGAGCCTGGGCTCGCGGGAAGCGCCTCAGTCACACAGTAAGTGGGAGAGCCAGAATATAAGCCCCAATCTTTGATTCCGCCATCGTGCTGTAGCCACGTTAGGACCAGCAGGGCAAAAACCCAACTCTGGCCACCATGGGTTCTTTGTGTCCTCCGTCACTGCCCGCCTGGATGCGGCGGCTGGCGGGGTCGGCACCTGCGTCTGCCTGAGTGGAGCAACGCAGCCTGTTGTGCAACGTCCCCTCGGCGCTGTCCTGAGAGCCCGCAGCTGTGAGGCTTGCCCTTGGCCTTCTCTGCAGTCGTCACTGTTATTAAATCTCTTGCTCTCCTGTCCTCTCTTAACCTCTCAAGGACATAGGAAATGAGAAACAGTTGCCTTAACGGTAAACACAGAGAGGTTTGCTAACCAAATTAGTTAACAAATCCGCAGAGCGCGGCTTCCTGCCAGGGTACGAACGCAGGAGAAGAGCCGTGCTGGGTGGGAGCGCACTGACGCTGGCCTCCGGACGCCTGCGGAGACCAGGTTCTTCCCACTTGAGCTGGAATTTAAGTTCCCATGAAGGAAGGTCATGGCTTGTAAACATTTTTACAGGGTTACATGAAAGCCTCCGCCTTTTTGTTCAGCTCCTTAGGTACTCTACTGCAATCTTTAATGCTCTCTGCTCCTTCCCTCGGTCATTACAGATTCCCCAATTTTTATCTTCCCCATAGCTTCACATTCAATATCAGCTCCTACATAGAAGCTCTCAGACTTGGGGTCACAAGAGGGTGACGTGGCAGGCTCCATCCTGTCAGCCGCGTGGGACTTAGGGTCGGCCACCTAGTTTAACCAGCATCTGCTGTGCTCAGCCCAGACTTCCACAGGAGTAGACAAGAGTGAACATTCATTGTGTCCCTATTCAGTGTCAGCCACTTTCTGGAACCCCCTCACTATCCCAGCAAGGAAAGTATGACTACCCTAGTTTCCCCAAAGAGAAAAAGGACTCTAAGAGGCTAAGGAACTAGGCCAGAATCCCAGATATATCAGCCACAGTCCATGTCCCGAGAGCTACCCACAGGAGCCCAGGGAGGCGGGAGGCCGACTTCTGTCTGACCCTGCCCCCCACCACCTGGCTGAGGCACTTGACAAGGCCCTCCCTACACCGGGGCCCTCCAGCCCAAAGATTTTCCTCCCAAGACATTCCTTCAGCGAGTAGAAACTCAGGTGCTCTCCTTCCGTCCCTCCAGTGCTGGCAGAAGATGCCATCAAGGCCGCCCTGGCCGATTACAAACTGAAGCAAGAACCCAAGAAAGAAGATGCAGAGAAGAAATGAGTCATTGGCAGAGCTCCCGCAGGTCGCGTTACTTTGCCCGTTGCCGCACGAACACTTTCAACTTCCAGAAGCTCCTCGCACTATTTAAAAAGAAGCTGTGAGATACGCACAATATTTCCCACCCACATTGCAACTCTAATGCAAGCAAAATATACCGTTTAATTGTTCTGCGTCCCGTGGTTTCTTTCAGCTCACTTTTATTGCCTTAAGGTACTTAGTGTATATTTTAAATTACATGCGTGGCCTCAGAACGGAAATCAGTGAAGTCTTAAGTTCTGATAGCCCACAAAGTGTGTAAGTGTCTTATTCTACCTGAATCTATTTTGGGGAAGGTTACCAGGAGAATGCCTTGGTCTGAATACTTGATAGAACCAATTATTGTACATAAAACAGATCTGCATATATATATTATAATAAAAGAATATAAGATGACGATTTTCTCTAATAAGCCTTGTATCTTGGATCCCTTTCCCCAAAATGTTGCCCAAAGCCTTTTGGGGTTCCCGAAGACTAGACAGTGAAGACGCGCACAGCTGTCCTAGCAAAGTGGACAATAAAGGTCATGAGCAGAGATGTTTTCAAAACTGTAAGTTCTTTATGGAACAAGGAGATGGTCATTTTTTGGAGACAGAGTCTTGTTAAGTTACCTATGCTGACCTCAAACATAGTCTGCCTGCTTCAGCCTCCCAAGTAGCTGGGGTAATAAGCTTTGGTCATAAGAGATAACTCAAAAGTAAGTCTTGAAGGTTTTTTTTCCAACATCACTGGTTTGTGAAATCTGAGAGCTACTGGCTGACATGATACAATACGCCTGTAGACCAAACATGTAAGGAGCACTTGGGGAATGAGTAAGTGCAGATTTCTAGGCCCAGGGCCTGCCCTGGGTCTGGGCAGGTCATTGTGATGCCTCCAACTTTTAAGAGCCTCTTAGATTTTGTATAGCAGCAGATGGGCCAAGTCAGAGGAAGGAAACCTTTGTCAGTCTTCTGCCTGTGCAGGGATGGCATTTAAGTGGCTCCCCTGACCAGCTGTACATGCGCAGTGCCCCTAAGGCAGATGAAAACAGACTGCCCTGACTCAGGTGTGGGTGACGCATTCAGTTGCGATCCAACCTACCCTGAGCTCCCCCACCCTGAGCCAGCCATAGTCACGGGTCTCTATTGGCGAAGGCCGGTTTTCATGTGAAAATGTGATATTTGAACAGGAAGGTGTACCAACTCCCTACAAGTGTAATTGTGTAATGCAAGCATGTATTTAAAATAAATTTTTAAAATATACAAAGGTCACCCCTCCCCCCTCAAAAAAGACTACCATAATGTCTAAAGACATTTATTTTCCTGATTTCAGGGTTTTGTTGTTTTTTCAGGAATAGGCTGGTCACCTCTTAAACATACCTTCTTTGTACATATTTTGGGGGCCAGGGGTGTAGCTTAGCAGCACACGCCTGCCTGGCAAGTGCAAGGTCCCCAGTTCGATTCCCAGTACAAAAAAAAAAAACATTTTTAATGGTTTGGGTTCTAGCGGAGAACACAGAACTTGAAAGGCTGTTCCCTCCACAGTCTGTAGAAAGACCACAGACCAGAGCCTCACCAGAATCTCAAATTAGATCCCTGGGCAGAACCATGTCAATTTGTCCCGTGCGGCCTGTTCTGCTGTGTAATTCACAGCCCGCTGAGCTGGGCTTGTCTCTCCCTTGTTACGTGCGGCAGCACCGCAGTTCCCCACCTCTTTTCTCTGCAGCATTTCTGTCCCAGTTAAGGTCCTCTAAAAACTGGAATTGCGTTCCGCAGACCAGAAGCAGCCAGTAAACAGGCAAACAGTATTACGGGATAGCTCAGACCTCAGGGTGGAGGGCCCTCTAACAGAGGTGGGTAATTCCACTAACACGTTAAAAACTCCCAGACAAGTCTAGTTTTAACCACGCCGGGGCCTCGGGTCACCCTTACTGCCCTACAGCTGTTCTTTTCTTTTTCTTTTTCTTTTTTCCAGTCTCCAAGTGGGTCTTGGCATCTTTAAGCTCTTCCATGGGGGTCTTGACAGATTAAATGGCCTGCTGAGCACCCATGCTGTGTCAGCTCCCCTTAATTTTCACAACCCTCAGCTGGACATTATTTCAAACAAGCCCACTAGCTGAGGAGACTGCCCAACTCTCAGGCCAGCTGTCCTGGGACAAGTGCCCTAAGCCCGCGTTTCTGGCCCATCCCCTCCAACCAGAACGGCAGAAGCCCCTGTTCTCTGCGTATTTACCCGAAGACAGCGGAGCAACGCAGCGAGGCCCGATGCGTTCACTGCCCACCAGACCCCACTGCCATCCAGGAGCCGAATCGCGATGCTAGGGCAGTGGGGCCTGGGGCCTGGCGTCATCAGTGGAGGTGGTTGGGCTGGCGAGTGGCTGGCTACACAGATGGGCGGAGGCAGGTAGGCGGGTGGATGTGTGGGGAAACGGGCTCAGAGAGGTGGAGTGACTTGTCCCAGAGCACGGCAGGATGGAGCCTGGCTCGTGTTCTGTGCCCACCTCCAGTCCACTGAAGCACCAACCAGAGCCATGGATGTCTCCCTAACCTTTCCTAACTTGCTCCTAGACTCCAGACGGGGGACTGCACCAAAATGCCTAGCTTTAGAAGCTCACATTAAGCATTGTCCTATGAAACTCTAACTCTCTCTGTCTCTCTGTTTCTGTCTTTCTCCCTCTCTCTGTCTCTCTCTGTCTCTGTCTCTCTGTCTTCTTGTTTAACTTTTCTTTAAAACCCAAGCAAATAAGGACACCTCCTGACAACCTCAATGGCCCCTTGACCTAGCGGAGTGCAGGTGCCGGGTCCGTCCTCCGACAGAACAGACTTCCAGGCCCACTGACTCTGGGAGGGAGGGGCCCTGCGGGGAAGCAGCAGCAGGTGGGTGTGCAGCACATCCCTGCCGATGGCTCTTGGCATCTGTGCTCGCTTTCCCCCTTTCCTAGGTGACATCAGGCAAGCCCTCAAAAGTCACCTCCCCAGAAACAGCCATCTCCATACAGGGAGGCAATAGCTCAGCTGAATACAGTGGTCTTAGAGCACTGGATCAGATGCTGGCTACCTGAGCCTCAGTGTTTTCATCTGCCAAATGGGAATAATAATAATAGTACCTACTTGGTCAGTAGAGTTGACACCAGGCACTGTCGCCTGGTGCTCTACACAGATTAGCTCCTTCACTCTTCACAAAATCCTAAATGCCCCAACGATCTTCCTTTACAGACAAAGCAAGTAAAAGGATGGGCAGCAGGTCCAAGATCAAGATCATAGGATATGGAGGAGCAGACTGTAGTCCATGACTGTGTGATCCACAGCCCCACACACGCTGTTTGGTGTTGCTGTATTATCTCCAATGCTGAGATCGGTGCTCCTGTGAGCATCAGTACTGTTACTGATGCTGATAGAACTATCATTACTTTTTTTGTCTTTGAGACAGGGTTTCCCTGTGCAGTTCAGGCAGGTCTTGAACTCACTTTGTAAACCAGGCTGGCCTCAAACCCACAGCAATCCTCCTGCCTCAGCCTCCAGCATGCTGGGATTACAGGCATGTGCCACACGCCCAGCCTATCATTACTGTTACTACTAGCAATACTACTGCTGTACAAATATTTAACCTCAAGGTTCCCGCCCAGGGTGGCATAGAACCAGCACTCACAGAAGGTCTCCAAAGGTATGCAAAGCTGTGCCTGGCTACACCCATGCAGGGAACACACCAGTGTGACTTCGGCCGCACACCGTTTGACAAGCAAGCTTGCTCCACTGCCCTTGGCCAGTCACAGGGCACAGCCATTCCCCACAACCAGCCTTGAATACCGCCACCACCTCCACCACCCAGCTATTGTGGGGAACCTCATGCTTGACACTCTGGCCCCTCACCTCGTTTCAGAGAAACCCAACTCCCAGAAGAACCCGAAGGCCCTGGGGTGAGGCCACACCCATCACCCCAGATGTGTGGGTGCAGGGGAGTTCCCAGATACCTCCCATCCTGCCCTCAGGGCCTCGGGCCATTGGTCAAAAGAAGCTTAGTGGGGAAACTGGGCGGAACACACCTCTGCCCAAAACAACCCCATTCTGAACCCTGTGTCGCAGTCCCATGGAGCAGGATTTAGGACATTTGAGAACTGGGAAACTCACGGTCTGATCCCCACTCTGCCCTGATCTTTCCATGGCAGCTACTTAGACGAGTACTTACCTCTCCGAGCCTTGGTTTCCCCTTCTGAAAAATCAGGATACTACTGGCTACAAGGTCATAGGACTGCTGTGAGGACTGTTATCCCATTTGAAATGGAAAGAGCGCAGTGCCGGGCATGTAGTAAGTGCTCAATAAACATTAGCTTTCACTGCCATCATCATCTTCATCACTACCACCATCAACACAAACACGGCTGTGGTTGTTGGCCCTGTCGTCAGTCCCTGCTATGTCCTGAACTGGGCCCTCTAAAAATTCATATGTTGAATCCCTAAACCCCACGCATCTATATTTGGCGATAGGGTCCTTAGGAGGAAATTAAGGCTAACTGAAGTCATAAAAGCAGGATCCTACACCAATACGACCCGCGGTCTTCTAAGGAGGGGTCCCTCAGCACACACTCAGAGAAACACCAAGTGAGGCCCAAGCAACCTCCTGTACATCAGAAAAGAGCTCTGGTCAGAGACGGAACCCACAGGAGCCTTGATCTGGGACTTTCCAGCTCCCAGAAGTGTGAGGAAATAAATTTCTATTATGTAAGCCATGTACTCTGTGGCATTTTGTTATGTCTGCCATTACCGCTGTCACCATCGCCACGATCACCACCATTACGATCGTCACCCATCTTTGTCATCACCATCGTTGTACAGGTCGGTTCTCCAGGAAGCGCCCCCAGTGGAGATAAGTGTGCAGGGTGTTCACTTGGGACTGTCCCCCGGCCCCGCTCTGTGGAAGATGGCTGAGAAATTGGGACTAGCCTGAGAGAGGTGACAGGCAGCAGCGTACCCCAAAAGCTCTCCATGTACCAGACGGGGACCTGTGAATCTGACACTCCCAGGTTGTCCTGCGTGGGGACCTCTGTGCCTCACAGTCTAAAGCTCCTTTCACAGCTGGGCTTGGGACGCCATCTTGCTACTCTTTTTCCCAAATAGAGGAGCCGCAAGTGAAGCTCACCCTGCATGACTAAGGCCCCTGCGTTCCTGGCGTCCCCAGGGCCCGCTGGAGGGCCAAAGGGCTTCGTGGGGTGCCTCACACTGCCCTGCTGGCCCTTCAGGCCCGGCTCACTTTCCCACCAGAGCCGGCCCCCAGGGACCACCTCCTCCCGAGGGAGCACTCTTCCATTCTGACCCCCACAGGCTCCGGCCAGCATGGCCCAGCTTCCTGGCAAAGCCCGCTTGGGCAGCCGCCCAGGGTTAAATCTTTGCTCGACCTCTCCCGCTCTTTGCAAGGGAGCTG